ACGAACTTATTATATTTGCAATTATTTTCTAAAATTTCTATATATTTAATATTATTTTTATTTAAATTACGGAAACATTAGCGAAGAGTGTGGTCCCAATCCAATCCTTGCCCCAATGGGAAACGTAGTCAACATCTCAACTTCACTGCCTCCCTAATTCAATTCAATATACTTCTGCAAAAAGAAAAAAAAATAATAAATAAATAAATATAATAATGATAATGATAAAGAGATTGAATTCAATAAACATATGCCTTTGGATTCTGCATCTCGAAGTTCGAGTATTTACATGGAGGTGTCAATTTTATAGTAATATTGATAGAAACATTTATAAAATACTAATATTTAATAATATCTGTGAAAAAATATTAATAAATAAATATTTTACGCTTTCTATTTATTTTAAAAATCTTTGTTACCAGTATTATGTATTAGCGATATTTTTTCTCGTTTACATCTTGTAAATATTTTTACAGTATAATCAATTTATGTCGATGGAAATATTGATACGTTAACACTATTTAGTACCCCTGTTCATCCCTCACCCCTCCCACCCAATTTCCCCTCATTCATTACTTTTCATTCCCACCTCAACCTTTTTACCTACAATAATATTAATTTTAAAGTTAAATATGGGTTTCGGTCCTTAATGATTTGAATTTGGTTTTATTTTTATTCTTGTGGTATAAAATTTTCGTGGCGTATGTATATATTAATAATTTTCTATATTCATGTTTGATGAATTGATATTTGATATAACATATATGAGAAAGATTATAAATTAAGTGATTTTATTAGAGTTCAAATTGAATGAAAAATAGAGGAAATTAGGTTGTATAATTATCCCAAAATCGTTAATTTATATTGAAGACTTGCTTGTCACCCTCCTTGTCACATCTATAGAAAACATGACATGTGGAAAGCTACAACATTCATCAATAATAAGAATATATATATATATATATATATATTTTTTTTTTTNTGAATATAATTCAATTTATAAAAATTGCTTTAATTTTATTTTTCTTTTTAAGTAAAAAGCTTCAATTCATTAAATGCATATGTGGTGCCTATCATGCTCAGGTTTATTACTTTGGAGTATGGACACACATACCCCTTCACTTTCTAGTTTTCATTTCTTTCAACCATTCATTCCCCTTCTTAAGTATTCTCACAAATTTAAATGATTGCTCATCATCTCCCTTAGGCATATGTTTGGTCACAATCTTAATAAATGTGAGTTTGGTAAGTGAGAGTGATTGTAAATTTAGCATAGTTCAGATAAAATAGTGCACATAAACGAAATTATAAATATAGTAAAAATAAATGAAAAGTAGGTAGAATTCATAACGACTAATATCATATTGTAGTCAAGTTTAATCATGATTGATCTATATCATCAATTATTTATGCACGTAAATTATTTACTTTTTAGAATGTAATATTATAAATATGAGTGTAGCGATTCATCTGAATCTTTGATCATATAAAAGAAGATTGACAATCCGAACATGTATCTTAGTAAAGAAGGTACCTTTAAACATCGCTCAATCTCGCACCAATAATTGTTGAACTAAAAAAATATTTATATGAGAAGCTTAACCATGTTTAGACTAACCCATTACTCCTATAAAAAGATATCTAACTAGTGTAAAAAGTATTTATTAGTTTAAATTTATGTTATCCATGTGATTGGGTGTATCAATAAAATGAACAAACTCAAATACCAAAAATCAATTAAACTTTAATTTTAAATGGTGAACCAAACACTCTACAAATGATTGGCTTTAAATCCCATTTTGGAATTTCAAGAGAAAAATAAACTTTCAAATTTATTTTATTTGTCAATGAATTTTCAAAATGTTTATTTTAATTTCTAAAATTTCAAAAGTTTATTTTATTTTTAGACTCCAAACTTTTAAGAGGTCTTATTTTAGTTCCCAAATTGAAAAAGAAAAATCATTTTATTTCTTACTATTATTTTGTCTATTATATTTAATTAGAGATATGGATAATATGACTTTGAATATGTGACTTGGAGATATATAAATTTTGGTTAGATATATGAGATAGCTAAAAATTATAATAAGGACTAAAATAGTTATTTTTGAAATTTCAATGATAAAAGTTTAAAAACTAAAATAATTCAAAGTCAGAAACAACATATTTTAAAGAAAAATCCCGACTCAACATCGAAGTGGTCTCGTGCGCGGCCATCATGTTGTCGGGTTTGAACTGCCTGCGGTTACAGAATCGCTGCTCGTTTTTCCTTCCCCGCGAGTATAGCATGATGAACCCAAGTTACGGCAGTTCCGGATGAAAGGAGAATAGGGGTTAAGTAGAATTACGACACAAAACACTACTGAAACAGAAAGGTGAAAAATCCGCCGTACTCTTTCCCAACGAGACCATTCACAGCGGAACAAGAAGAATCACAGTCGGCTCCTGGTGAGAACTGAAATYCTGGTTGGTGCAAACTGAGATCTTAAAGCGTCTCTCTGACCCGATAACTAGTATCGCCTCCCCGCCCAACTCTATGAGCAGGCCTCAAATAAATTAATTTTGAAGGGGAAAAAAAAGTTTGCAGCTTAAATAAAATTTCATGATAGGGTACTTTTTTGGTAATTAATGACAAAAATATGGTGGTTTTACCATGTCAGAGATCAGCCTAAACAAGATTTTAATGCTTATCCGCAGTTGTCACATGTGGTAATTCTTATGCAATTTGACTACGCAAATAATAGTTTTCCATTGCTTCCCTCGTAATATTTGGACATGATTTATATATAAACCCTACATTGTTTCAAGTTGTTAACCGATACGTAGCTGTATTAGTTAACGTACTCATTTCTGACTAAAAGAGTTGTGAGTTCGAATCCTCATCCTCACATATGAATTTCTCTCTCTCTCCTTCATGCAATACAGTGCTTAGCGTTGTTAATTTTTCCATGATGACACAGAGACGAGGAAAACATCTCTGACCCCACCTTGTCTCATTGTCATCTCTAAAGATGTCTCTCACATATACAAGATAACATGGAAGGTTCCCTCTCACTCTTATGAACAACAATTTATCACTCTCTTTCCTTCATGCAATGTTCCGATCTCTCACATTACAAGCTAGACATAAAGTTACACCATCTCTTTCATGCAACGCCACCTTTCTCTCATTTTGACAAAAAGAAAATACAGGTCAAATCCTGACTGAAAACCACCCTTATGACCATACTTATAAATCGTACTTTAGAAGTGTGATCATCTTATAAATATATACAAAACCCACCATTTTTTCTTTTAATCACAATATTGCTAGCTTAATTAAACTCTACCCTATTCTAATTTTGTCATTTGAAAAGAAAAAAAGGGTAAAAAGAATCTTTGAAAAACCTTCCTCATTTTCCCCTTTATTGCTTTACTTTCTTCAATTAGAATAATATCAAAATTATAATACTCTCTCTCTCCCCCTTAAAAAGAGAAAAATACAAATTTATATACTCATAAGTCATAATAAAGTAGGGGTGTTCAAGGAACCCGACAACCCGACGAATCCAACCCAATCCATAAGGGTTGGGTACGGGTTGAATCTAACATTGGGTTGGGTTGGGTTGGAAAAATCTCACCCCGACTGGGTTGGGTCGGTATCGGGTTGACCCTTGAAAATCTCGGGTCAAACCGACCCGACCCGAGATTAAAAGTTTTTTTTTTTCATTAAATCTAAACCATTGATTTAGGTCTCAATTCAATCCTCTCCCTTTTGAATTTTTGATTCTCTCTCTTTTCTAACATTTTCAATTTCATCATCTTCTCCCCCATCTCTCTCTATAATAAGGTGTAAGATTTGAATATTGCTGAATTATGGCTTACATGTTGGGTTTCAATTTTGGATTTGGACTTTAGATAAACTTTGGATAATGTAAAATTTTAAAATTTGTATTAAATTAGGACTTACATGTTGGTTTCAATTAGGATTTGAATTGATGCTTAAATTAAGATTTTGATTTTTTTTGTCCATGTTATAAACAAAATAAAAGTAAATTAATTGATAAATTAAAAAGAAAAAAAGAACCCGACCCAATCCGAATTTATTGGGTTGGGTTGGCCATCGTTTTACAACCCGACGGTTCCCACAAATTCCCAATCCAAAATTTTCTGGGTGATCCAAAAATTACCCCCAACCCAAACCGTGAACAACCCTATAAACAAAGTCTCTCAATTTGCACATGTCAAGTGGGTCCCATCTCTCTCTCTCTTCCGTCCAACGCTAATCCTTCCCCTCCCACGTACTTTTCACTTCCTCTGCATCACATTCATCTCTTTTCTCTCTCTCTTACGTCATCGGACTAAAATTATGTCTAATAAATTTTAAAATTTTTAAAAATTTAATACTGATCTCTAAACTTTTAAAAGTACATTAGTTTATTAGACGATTTTTAAACTTTAAGAATAAAATTTTAATATCGATCTCTAAATTTTTAGAAGTGCAATAGTTTATTAGACGCCGTTTGATATGTTTTTGTGAGCATAGCTCAACGGTAATTGACATATATAAATTTGAAAGTTGAAATAGAATTTTACTGTTTCATTTTAACTGAAGATTAGTTTTTCAGAATTTTTTATTTGTTATTTATTTTATATGTCAAAAATGATAATTTTATCCTTGAAAATAGGAACAAGAGATAAAGAAATTATGTCATTGTTGGTAAAATTTCAACAGTTTTGAAAACATTTCTTCGAAATAAAATAATAAACAAAAACAGTTACCAAAGGTCTATATTTTTAAAAAGTTAGAAACTAGAAACAAGATACCAAAAATTAACAACGTTATCAAACGAGTTCTCAATCGCCTCATCCACATTTTTTACAATTTATGACCTATTAGATACATCAATGAAATTTTAGTATCTTGTAATTTAATTTACAATATTCAAAGCCTCCCATTTGACTTTTTTTTATATACACACACCCCATACGAGAGAGACTCTCACTCTGACTTTGTACAATAATTGTCGAGAGAAATAAACCCAAAAAAAAAGGGTGCGATGGAGGTGGTTGCCGGAGTTTCTTTGAGGTGGATTTTTCCGGCGGCGGTGGCGGTGTTGGTCCATTATTTGTACTACACGGTGTGGAGGAAGACCGCGGAGGTGAGGCGGAAGCTCCGGGCGCAAGGCGTGTGGGGGCCTCCGCCGTCGGTTCTGTACGGGAACTTGCCCGAGATGCAGAAGATCCAGCTGCAGGCGGCGGTGGCGGCGCCGCCCAATCAGGCGTCGGCGATTGTGGCTCACGATTATACCTCCACTCTCTTCCCCTATTTCGTCAAGTGGACCAAAGAATACGGTAAATAAATTCCACCTTTGGGCTTATCTCTTTTAATCTAATTTCCAGTTAAATTATAAATTTAGTTTCGAGTTAGTTCTTAAATTTTATAAAAAAAATTTCAATTATATTTTTCAAGTTTGTATTTCGATTCTACGGAATTTATATCGTTGAAATGATAAATAATTACTATATAAGTATTGGTCAATTTGATATATCAATCGACCCATCGTTTGGTTGATGTCAAATTTCATATAAAATTGTTTTAAAGCATATTGATTTTTTTTTATTTTATGAATTGATAGAGGCACACCTAAATTAGGGATTAATTTTACAACAACCAAAAATATAAGAGTTTTTGGCGAACTTATTGTTAGTGTTTATGTTGAAAAAAGAAGTAGAGATATATGGAGATATATGGCCGTTTTTAAAATATAATAATTTTCGTGATTATTGTTAAAAGAAACATTTGTTCAACCTTTGAACACTGTTCATTAAAAAAAGCCGTCCACTCAACAAATGATTTCTTCTATAATAAGGAAAAAAAATTATAAATTATAAATATAGTCTATACATGAAACTTTTAAAGTTGTGTTTAGCACGTCTCTAGATTTTCAACTTTGAGTCTGCTAGGTCCTAAATTTTAAAAGCTCTTTTAATATGTCTTTAAGGGTTTGTTTGTTCATGTTCCCATTTCTTTTTTCTTATTTTCAATTTTGATAACAAATCTAAACATTTGACAATTATTTATATTTTTTATTTCTCATTTTTCATAAACATGTTCAAAATTGTATAAAAATTTTAAAAACAACAAAAACAATTTCTTCATTTTGGAAAAGATGGTCGTACAATTCTATTTTTTTTAATAAAAAATGGAGAAACAAAAATAAGAAACACGAATCCTAAACTTTGAACTTTGTGTCCATATACCTATCCAATATTTTTTTAAAATTTACAAATTTTTCGGGGCCGACTTAGGCACAAGATTGAAAATTGAAAATTGAGAGAGAATTTCTGAGCCCATGAATTGAATTGGGCTGGAATTGGAAGTGCAGGCCCATTGTACACGTACACGACGGGGGGGAGGCAGCATCTGTACGCGAACAAGGTGGAGATGGTGAAGGATT